TTTCTAACCTTTATTCTCCTAACATGTTGGGTAGAATGTAGATTGTTGGTTATTGTGAGTAGAGTAAGGGCAAGCTATTGTTCTCATGAGGTGAAACAGGTGTTACCTGGGAGCTTTTTGCTGGGGCAGATACACTAAAAGTTGACTTGAATATTATTTTGAACTTGCATGCTCTTAATTGCCAGCCTCTGTCCCAACTTCAGCAGAGTGTCTCTGACACCACTGACCCTTTCCCAACTCCATGGACCCCTCTCCAATTCCATTGATAGCCTCCTGATTCAATCCACTCTGCCCAACTCCAGTAACCCTATGCCTTATCCCACTGCTTTGCCATGGACTCTATGGGCCTGGTGGCCTCCCTATTTAGGTGACATTGGGGGTCAGATGGGATTGTTCATTGGCGCAAGCATCCTGACTGTTCTGGAACTCTTCGACTATGCTTATGAGGTGAGAAGGGAGCAACAGATGGGAGAAGGGAGCAAACAGATGGCAGCGAGATGGGCATGGGAATGCTAGAGACTGGGAGGGGGACTTGTTAGAGGAGGATGTATTTGGGGATCCAAGTTGGGTAGTTCTGGCTAGACCCCCATCCCCACTGCAGGTCTTCTCTTTTCCATCCAGGTGATTAAGCACAAGCTGTGCCGTCGGGGCAGGTGCCAGAAGGAGTCTAAAAGGAATAGTGCAGACAAGGGTGTAGCCCTCAGCCTGGACGATGTCAAGCGACATGTAAGGGACCCTGAATAAATGCTCTCTCTTCCCCTTCCCTACTAATACACACCAAAAACCTCCTCTATTCTCTTTCCTTCTCTCATTCCTGACTGTTCTCATTGGGATCCCAGTGTTGTCTATCTACTCTTCTCTCCAGGTGACCCCAAAGATAATACTATTCCCAATGTTTCCCTAAAATTATTCCTGGCTTTGACTCTTCAACAATGCATAAACATTTAGTAAGCACCTACTATATGTAAGGTACTATAGGTATTGGACATACAAAGACAAAAATTTAAAATAACTTCTGCCCTCAAAGACCTTATATTATATGGGTATGTAGAATTAATTGGAAGGGGCAAATACCAGGGAGACCATCTCAAGGACTATTGTAATAATCTAGGAATAAGGTATTAGAGTTATGACTAGGATAGTGGCAATGAAAATATATGTTAGGGCAAAAAAAACATTCTGAAAGAAGTATCAATAAGATTCAGTCATTTGGGTAGATAATGAGGGTGAAAGACAGGGAAATAAAAAATTACTACCAGTCTTCCTTTGCCATGACTCTTCACCAACCCACATCCAATATATTTCTCAACCTGGACCTCTTTGTTTGCCTTCCTAGTTATTCTTTCCCTGCCCTTTCTTCCCCCTACCCAGAACCCCTGTGAGAGCCTCCGGGGCCATCCTGCTGGGATGACATATGCCGCCAACATCCTACCTCACCATCCGACCCGAGGCACCTTTGAGGACTTTACCTGCTGAGCCCTGCCAGCCATCATACCAAAGGCCTGGGAGGGAAGAGGAGGGCAAGGAAAATGTGGGGGATCAAGCTGCTCACCTGCCCTGGGGCTTACCACTGCCCCTCCCACTTCAAGGGCAGCTCCCAACTCCCTTCAAAGTCTTTCCCTCCTAGAACTGGTAGAAGGGGGTTCTGAGTCCAGTGCCCTTCTCTACTCCCTTGCCCTCCATATCCATACATTTTTATTTTTAACAAAACACATAACAACAGAAATAAACTACAAAGAGAAAGGGCAAGGGACCCCAGGCTGTCCCTCTATGCCCTGTGCTGCCTCCCCCTGCTCCTAGCCTGACCTATGTCTGTTTGAACATCCATCCTCATCCCGCTTTCACCATTCACTGAAGCTCTCTCCCAGCAGGGAGGACATGAGTGGAAAGACTCCTTAGGGGTCTTGAATTGGGCCCCAGACAGAGAATGTACCTTAGGAGGGAGGGCTAATGGGGGAGGAGGGCTTCCCTAGCCTTAAGAGACCCTTTCAGTACAGCGTCCCCCCCCTCCAACTGTAAATCACAAGGGCAGGAACTGAGGCCCCTGGCCCTCCCTCCCTTACACTTATTGGGTGCCCCTCAGAGGTCAAGGAATGAATGGTGTTCCCTGAGGGACTTGGGACAGGACAAGGCACAGGTTTCATGCCAACATGCCCTGGCCCTACCCTAAAATCAGAGAAATTTTTGAATGGGATTCTTCATCCTCATCCCATGAAAAAGATGTAGGCACTTGATTCCCAACTCAGGGAGAGGGGAACTGGCACCTATTTCTCTCCTAACTCCCAGTTCCTCCCTCCAGGGGTCCCTTGCATGGGACCACATCCATAAATTTTCTTATGGAATTTCCCCAAGTCTTTGTCCTCTATTCCATTCGTTTCTTTCTATGACTTCATCTGCATTTTCTATTTCTATATGATACAGACTCTATATTGCTATAACTCTGTATATACTCCCTTCAGCCCCTGTCTGTCTCTGCCCATCCCCATCCCCTGTGTCTCTAAGTCCCATCACTACTTCCTCCCAAATCTCCTACTGTCTCTCTGACCACCCTACTACCAATCCCTCTGAATGCCTTCACCTGTATAAAGTGTTGGACTCTCTCCTCCGGTGTCTGTACTGTGTACACACATCCCCCTGAGAAGCACAAGGAGACGACGTACGCATTGTAACTCTCTCACTGTCTTGGACATAAAGGAAGCTGTGAATCACAAGCTCTGCCTCTTTCTGGCCTGTCCCCCTCCACCCAACTTTCCTATGCTTCGAGCACTCTCTGCCCTTCCTGTAGCCTTAAGGCCTCTTCCTTCCTTCCTTCCTATCAGTCCTGTTATCCACCTTCTGACTGGGACTTTCCTCCTGGGGGAAGGGGTGGACACAGAGAATTGGCACTTAGCTCAGAGGATGGATATTCCCTCTTGGCCCCAAGCCAAGGAAAATTACAGATGATGGAGTACCTGGAGCATGTAGATAAGGTGTCAGAGACAGTGTAAAGGTGGGAAACAACCCAATAGCTTCTAAGGGTAGCCACTGAGAAATATATGGGTGGCTAGGAGATAGTGTCTAAGGCCCTTATCCCAAGGCTGTGTTGGCTAGGGTCAAATTCTCCCCATTACTGACTACCCACCCTCTCTTTCCTTACCTGGGGTCCAAGCCTATACCTCCATTGCTCAGATTTTAAGGGCAAGGCTGGACTTGATAATGAAGTAGGACTAGAGGAAGAGTTGGGAGCTCATGCTGTTAACCATCTCCCCATCCTCCCCCTGAGAAATAGGGTGAAAATGAGGTTCGCAACTTCCTTTCATCTTTCTCTATCTCAGATGGTCCAGAAATATCCCTTCCATCCTAAGGCCCTCTTGCTTAGAGCTCCCTGGGAGAAGGCCTCAGCCAACATAACCTCTGATGACAAGGATGAGGCCTCCGACATAATTCTAGGACATACTTATTCTCCCCTCTCCATCCCATTTGTTGGGGAAATGGTAGGGATTGGGGAGAAAGACATTGCTGGGAGTCCATAAACACCAGGTTCCTGGTTGTCACTTGGAGAGAGAGCAGACCTCCCTGTAGAGAAACAGGAGGAAATATGCTCTAAGCAGCAGTGGTGGCAGTGAGCAGGATTGTGGGTGAGACACTCCTCTGATCTAATAAACTGGGTTTCAACCATCTCCCCTCACAGTGTTGTTATTAATTGTTCATTAATTGGTTCAACAAGTATGTGTTAAACACCACCTGGCACTATGTTCAGGGCTTAGAACACTGCTGGGTTTGGCACCAGTGTGCTAAGAGGGAAAAAACCCTGAGAGGGCCTGCAGGCCATCTGTAGGCCAAAGATCTTTGCCCTGTTGAGCTAAGAATGCTTAACATAGGACCAACAGTGAGCTTGACTTTCAGGGAGAGGGAGGAGGTAGAACAGGGAGATTTCCCAAGAAAGGCTCTGGGGGAATGGGTAAGGTAGTTTGGGTCTAGGTTAAATAAGTACATGAACTTTTATACACTTAAAAAAAAAGCTATATGAATTTTCTCGTTGGAGCACCACAGTATCTGTAATGTAAATAGCAAGTGTCAATCTCCCCATTTTATAGGAAATTGAAGTTAGGAAAGTGAGTAGCCCAGGGTCACACAGCTAATTAGTGCCTAAGGCCTGACTGAGAGCTCAGGTCTTCCTGGCTATTCTAGGTCCAGTAAAGCTTGGGAGTAAGACAGCCCTAAAAGTTAGTAGCTGGTGGGGAAGACAAGGTCTTTGAAAAAATAAATTAGTAGCTTGGAGTAGGGTGATCTGGTTCAAATTCCAACACCCCTATTTCTTAGCTGTGTGCCCTTGGGCAAATCACTGAACTTCTCTGTAAGGTTCCCAAAGCGCTTTCCCCTCATATCGGGTTAGCTGCTAATGTAGTCCAGCATTCATGGTCGTGGAAGAGACCTTGTCTGCACGATCTTGCCCAAGTAGAGCACGGGGACCTGGAGTCAGAGACCCTAATTCAAATCCAGCCCCAGCCCTGTGACCCTGGGCAAGTTCACTTCGCCCGTCTGCCTCAGTTTCCTCATCTGTAAAACGAGGGTACCTCCCAGGGTTGTTGTGAGGCTAGAAAGCCGAGATGTTTGTAAAGCGCTTTTCAAACCTTAAAGCGCTATACCAAGACTAGCGAGCGAAGTCACCGAGCCTCAGTTTCCCTATCTGCAAAAAGGGAGATTGAGAGCCTCTCCCGGATGAAATAAGATAACGTGAGGCTAGCAAAGCGTCTTTAAAAGTTACAAGCGCTGCACACGGGGGCCGTGTTCTATAACTGCGGTTATTCCCACGGTCACTGCTGCCCGGCCCTGCGCCCGCCATCCACCCCCGCTAGGGCGGGGAAGTAGTACCAGCCGCCCGCTGCGCCGGGACCTGGAGGCTCCGCGTTTGGCCGCCCTCCGGCCGGCAGGCGGCGCGGCTCGGCTCAGGGCCTCTCTCCCCCACCGCTCCTTCTCGCTGGTTTCCCCTCCCAGGGCGAGGAGGCCAGGAGGAGGGGAGAGCCCGCCTCGCTTTTTCCACCATCCCCTTCTAGCCCGCAGTCTCGTTGCCCGAAGCCTCCCCTTCCATATCCCAGGCAGGCTCTGGAGGTCGGGGAGGGGAAGGGGGAGGGGGAGCGGGTGTGTGTGAGTGTGTGTGAGAGGGAAGGGAGAGTGGCCGAGAGAGGGGGGGAGTTCCGGTTCCGGTTCTTTGTGCGGCGGCGGCAGTGGCTCCGGGGGAAGATGGCGGCCCGGGCTGGTTTCCAGTCAGTGGCTCCGAGCGGCGGCGCCGGAGCTGCGTCAGGGGCGGGCGCAGCGGCCGCTCTGGGCCCGGGTGGGACTCCGGGGCCCCCAGTGCGAATGGGCCCGGCACCCGGCCAAGGGCTCTACCGCTCCCCGATGCCCGGAGCAGCCTATCCGGTGAGTGGGGGCGGGGAAGAGGGGAGCCAGGAGGAGGGGCGCGCGGACAGGGGGCGGGACTTGCGAGTGAGTGGCAGAAAGGGCCGTGGGGGAAGGGGGCGAGCAGGGAAGAAGGTGAGGGTGGAAGGATGGAGGAGTAAAGAGCAGTTCGCATTGGTACCAGAGGGTGGGAAGGGAGGATGGAGTTTGAAATCCTCATGGCGGAGCAGCTTTGGGGAGTGGAGTGAGCCGCAGAACCAGGTGCTTCTGGTCCTGGAAAAGATTCAAGTCAGAGGGCAGAGGACCTTGGTTCAAATCCCGGCCCTGCCACTTTATGCCTATGTCATCTTGGGCAAGTTTACTTAGCCCTTCAGGCCTCAGCTTCCTCATCTGTAAAATGGAGGGGTTGAGCTTCTAAGGCCCTGTCCAGCTCCCACTTAGTCCCTAGGATTAATTTCCTATGTACCTCTGGGTAAATCCATTAACTCCTTAATGTCTCAGCCTCCTCACTGTTAAAATCTGGGAGATGGACAAGATAATCTCTAAGGTTCAGTCTAACTCTTAACAGTCTGGTTATGTTTAATTGGAAGAGAACGGAGTTAGGTAATACAGGAGAGCATGAGGGAGGCCTAGTATACAGGAGAAGATTAAGAACTCCAGTGGGATGGGGAGTCCAGGTAGTCCTGATAACTGTTGAAGGGATAGTGGTCAAAGAGATATCAACTGAAAAAGAAGAACCCAAAATAAAAGATAGGCAAGTTAGCTTAAGGGAAAGAGGTAATAAGGATATCTCAGAATAGCAAAGAGGCATCTTCATTCATTAAAGGAGCTGGAAGAGAACTCTGAAATTGCAGTTTGGGGTTAAGCTAGATAAAATTTTGCCTTGGTCTCATCCCTTGGCTTTTTCTTGGACCTTTGGGCAGTCTTCTTCTCTGGAGCCAGCATCCTGGGTGAAGGAAGCCCCAGTTAGCCCACATTCATAGAAGGTTCTAGGGTTCTCCCATTTTCCTCATACCTTTCAGCAAGGTATGTTAAAACATACCTTTTTAACATCCCCCTCCCACAGCTCAGACAGCTATAATATTTCTGTGTTATGTCTCCTGTGCAGCGTCCAGGCATGTTGCCAGGAAGCCGTATGACACCTCAGGGACCTTCTATGGGACCTCCTGGCTATGGGGGGAACCCTTCAGTTCGACCTGGTCTGGCCCAGTCAGGAATAGATCAGTCCCGAAAGAGACCAGCTCCTCAACAGATCCAGCAGGTTCAGCAGCAGGCAGTCCAGAATCGAAATCACAAGTAAGACTCCTCTGGGAAGGGTAAAAGGAATTCTGTGGAGACAGAGGTGGGAAGAGCAGCAGAAACTGGGGAGTGTGTCTGTAAACCTATGTAACGTATCATTCTTTTCTCATGAAACTACCTTATCTGAGTTTGTCATGGGATGGGGGGGTTTTCTCTGATCTGAAAGAAGCTTTTCAGTCTGTGGGCTCCCCTTTTCCTCTTTCTTATGCATCCATATGAGGGTGCTGCCCTCCCCATTTTCAGGTTCTGGTCAGTTCCATCCCAGCCTAATACCAATGTTTATTCTGAACAGTGCAAAGAAAAAGAAGATGGCTGACAAAATTCTACCTCAGAGGGTGAGTCCAGCACACCTTCCCCCTGTCCTCAGTCTCCCCTAGGGCCCCTAGTACCCATGAGTTTGAAAGCAAATTTTATGTACCTGACTATATCTTACTACCCTTTAGATTCGTGAGCTGGTACCAGAATCCCAGGCCTATATGGATCTCTTGGCTTTTGAAAGGAAACTGGATCAGACCATCATGAGAAAACGACTAGATATTCAGGAGGCCTTGAAACGACCTGTCAAGGTACAGGAAACTCCTAGGCAAAGAGCCAATAGAGAGGGATTCAAGAACTTTCAGCAGTCTAAGAATGAGAAATTAAAAGCTCAGTATAGATCTCCCAGGCACTTAAGTTTCCCTTTGGCCTAATAGCTAATTTTATTAGAAGTACCAGAATAGAAAAAGGAGAGGAGGACCCACTGTTTCACCAGAAATCTTTGTACTTTCCATGTCACTGTTGTAATTGCTTCCTCCACCCAGGAACTCAGTTGGCACTGTGAATATCTTTGTTTGTCTTACATCCTTATTTATGCGCTCAGGGCTGGTTGCCCATTCACTTCTAGTTGGAATCTCTATCCCACCCCAAGGAACTGGGCAGACAGCAGATTGGTTTGGTAGAATTAAATGGTTAGGGCACAGTATTGTTTTCAAAACTCTATACTAATCTTTGTTTCTACCCTCTTCAGCAAAAACGGAAACTTCGTATTTTCATTTCGAATACTTTCAATCCAGCTAAATCAGATGCTGAAGATGGGGAAGGAACTGTGGCTTCCTGGGAGCTTCGGGTAGAAGGACGGCTCCTCGAGGATGTGAGTGTGAAGTTCACAGTGGTAGGGACTGGGGGTGGGGGCATCTAGAGAAGAGCAATGTCTTTCTGGTCTGGAGGGACCCTGAATGGTGCTCACAACTCCTTTCCAGAGCAGCAGGGAGAGGGACGTTCGGCTCCTTGCGTTGGAAGACAATGGCTCTTTGTGTGCAGCTCCCACAGCTTTGGCCTTCACTGCCATATCGTGTTGAGAACACTATTGTCCTGTGATCTGATTTGCTGTTCACTTCCCCCCTCGGCTCGTTCTGGCCATTAATGGTTTCCCAGGTTTCTGCTGATTACCTTGGTTTGGGCTTGTTTATCAAGTGAGTTTGCAGGTTTTCCCCCATATGGCATTTCAGGCCATGACTTCCTGTCTGAATCCTTAAGATCCTTAATTTCCACTGTGTGATCTCCCTTCTCTCTGCTGTTGCTGAGAACACATCATGATTTAGAATAGGCAGATTTCTCTGACATGCTATTCATTATTTCATGCTGAGCACCAACTGGGGGGTTGTAAGCCCCTAGACCTCCCACCCCCACTTGCTCCTTGGGGAAGCTTACTTTTCCCTCATTACCTTCTATTGTTTACCTCTTAGCCTGTTTTCAGCCATGGTTACTGCTTATAGCCAAGCTATTTTGAGTGAATTTTGCGCAGAGAACTGGAGCTCTGTATCAGAGCTTCCTTCCCATATACATAAGTGCATTCCATCTGCTTGTGTTGTCATTCTGTCCCGGTAAAACCATTTTTGTTCTTGCTGCTATTGCTCATGATTCACTTTTCCCTCCAGTCAGGCTTTGTTCTCCTCAAATTTATTCTGTTCCTAAATGTGGATATTAGAATTCCTTGCCTCATTCCCAGAAGTATTTTTCCCTTGGGAGTGGGGTGGGTGATTAAATGACCATGTATATGTTACAAATTGTTTTTCCAAGGTTTCAGTGTCACTATGACTGGTTTGTTGCCCAAGACATCAACCTGCCATCCCCCAATAAAAATATTTGGAAATCATTTCTGATTCCATTTGGCTTGAACTCAGTATCATTGTGGGTTCTTTGGCCATAGGCCTTGTTTTGGGCATTTTTTAGTTTTTCTTCCCTAATATGGCTTTTCTCTTCTGCTCTTCTTCAGTCAGCTCTGTCTAAATATGATGCTACCAAGCAGAAGCGTAAATTCTCCTCCTTCTTTAAGTCTTTGGTGATTGAGCTGGACAAAGATTTATACGGGCCAGACAACCACCTGGTGGAAGTGAGTAGTTCATTTGTCCAGGTTCTGACATGGATGGGGCTGAGGGAACTGGGAACCAGGTCTGGAATACCTAAGGTAATGGGAGAGAAATATAAGTCCAAGATAAGTTCAAGAGAATGTTCCAGGTAAACCTTACCTCTACACCAAATATTTATCCTTTATATTTTGTCCATTGGCCTCCAGGGGGCACCATCTGGTTTAGTTCTGAGCTAGGAGAGCTTGTTCATCCCGAGGCTAGAAGACACCTTTGACATTTTGCCTCTGCTATTACAATCTCTCGGGCATATAAAAGTTCAGCTTTCTCTTTCTTCCCTCCTCTCCCCCACCTTCCTTCTCCTCTTCCTCCCCCACCCCGAAATCCTAGCTGGGGCCTCTTGATTATACCCATGTCCAAAGCCAGCTAGCGCCCCATCCTGCTTGCCACCTGTGAAATAATGTGTCACTTTAAAACCCATTAATGCTTCTTCCTGGGGGGAGTTGCTGTAGCTTATGGCATCAGTTGGCACAATAGAAGTTTTTTCGACTGGTTACTTCTTTCTCAGTTCTGGGCCATCCACATTAGCCTCTGGCTCTTTCTAGATATTATTGCGGAGGGTTTTTCTAACTCTTCAGACAATGAGTGATTATTATAAAAGATCATTTATTATGTACCTAGCTGTAAGTGTTGCCCTGTTTGTTGTTATATAGACCAAGTTAGAAACATGGTTATTCCCTTGGATATCCACCAAGTCAACATCAGAATGGGTGGCTCATCACGTCCATAGCTCCAGATGGAGTTTTCCACCGCTACTTTTTTTTTTAAACTGGACCTGTGACTTCATTGCTATAGAGAACTGGTGAGAAAACTCCCTCTGCCAATGCAGATCAGTGCAGACTCTGAAACTTTGGAGCACTGAGAGGTTAAATGACTCACTGAGCATCACACATCTGCTGTGTGCCGAAGATGAGACTTAAATCCAGGTCTTAACTGATGCAGTTCTTTCTCCACTGTTTCACTTTGTTCTTTGCCAGTACACAATTCTCTTCTACCTTAAACTTCTTGGATTGGCTGCCTTTCTTTGGCTATAATAAGGAGCAGACAGAGCTGGTGGTATTAAGGGTCTTGGGCTCTCCAGCAGTGAGTGAATATCAGTTGAAGTTGCAAGAGGCATAGCCAAGCACCAGGAGCTTGGGAGATAGAACATACATTGTCCTTGCCCTCAGTAGGCTCACTGTCTAAGAAGCAAGGCATGGAATCAACTACCTATCTGCATACAAGCTACATATCTGTAGCTAATTGATACTTCAAGGGTTTTCTATATGAATCTTTCATTTATTTAGCTTTTTGCTCAAATAATATAAGCTAATTTTAATAAGTCAACCAAATTTGTTGCCAAAAAAAATTTCAGAGTCAAATGAGAGTTTGGTTTTTTTTATTGCCCTCCATTACCATTCCATTTCAACAGCACAAAAAGATTGATTTGAATATAGTTATCAACAAAAGAAGTTTTTTGGGAAATGACTGTGGTGTGAAAAAAAAACAAACAAACGTGAAAAATTAATCAACTTTCAGTAAAAAGATGTTCCTCCCACCACTGTTGTTCTTCCTTTGGGAGAGCAGCCCCTGATATATTTCTCTCCCTAGTGGCACAGGACTGCTACCACCCAGGAGACAGATGGCTTCCAGGTGAAGCGGCCAGGAGATGTAAATGTTCGTTGCACTGTTTTGCTGATGCTAGATTACCAGGTATTGTTGGGGGGGAAGAACTCTGCTTTCACAGCCTCATCTCATTACCTATTTTCAGTTCTAGCTAAACTATGAGTCATCTCCTCCCCACCCATCTTTCCCAAGTCCTTGAAGATGCAGACAGGCTTGGCTAACTGTGCCCATACCTTCTATCTCTGTAGCCTCCTCAGTTTAAATTGGACCCCCGCCTGGCCCGGCTTCTGGGTATCCACACACAGACACGTCCAGTGATCATCCAAGCACTGTGGCAATACATCAAGACTCATAAGCTTCAGGACCCCCATGAACGGGAGTTCGTTATCTGTGACAAATACCTCCAGCAGGTGAATGAGGGTTCTGCTCTTCAGTTAGAGTACACTGTGTTCTGGCAGGGACCCTATGTATCCTCAGCCTTGAATTGCTTCTTCCTGTAGATATTCGAGTCGCAACGGATGAAGTTCTCAGAGATCCCCCAGCGGCTCCATGCCTTGCTCATGCCACCAGAACCCATCATCATTAATCACGTCATCAGGTGGGGGCATGGTAGCAACAAGACAACAAGACATTTCTTTGCTGAAGAGCGAGGGACTGGAGGGTGGGAGGATTTGAGCCTTCTTTTTCCTGTAATGAGGAGGCAGGAGCTGAAGTTTGGCACTTTCTCCATTTCCCCCCTTCACTCTTGGGCAGAGGTTGAATGAGGAAGGCATCTCCAGAGCCTCATAGCCTTAAAGTAACTTCTTTTTATAGCCGAGCCTGGGACCATTTTTCAGGTTTCATCGCTTCAGTGTTTGGTTCTTTTTCTCTCACATTGGGGTACCATTACCTAGCATGTAACCCAGGGTTCTACAGACAGTGTGAATTGGATCACTAGAAGCTAGACTGTTCTTATCTCAGAGATACAGAATTAGGAACCTCTTTCTGGACCTCAGTAACTTGAGTTTTTGGAGGCATTCCTTTCACCACACCACTATCATTTCTTTATCAGTGTTGATCCCAATGACCAGAAGAAAACTGCCTGTTATGACATTGATGTGGAAGTAGATGACACCCTTAAGACCCAGATGAACTCCTTCCTGCTATCTACTGCAAGCCAGCAGGAAATTGCTGCTCTAGACAACAAGGTAAGAGCCTCTGCCCAGGTAGTTTGGGTACCATGGGTTTTCCCAGTCAAAGTTGCTAGGCCAGTTTTGCCTCTTCATAGACCTCAAGGACCCACTTTACAGACTTGTCTGCCCTCAGATTTTGTTTGAGACAGAGTGGTGAACTCAAGGTTCACTGTGTACATAGTTATATTTGGATAATGTTTTAAAGCAGACTTTGCCAGAGTTTGGAATAGCACAGAAGAGTCATGAAGGAGCACCTGCCTTTAACCTAGGAGAGCAATCATAGTATAGGAAAAAGTGCTAAGGTCAAAAGACTTGGCTTACAGTCCTTATTTTGCTATTTATTGAATGTTTGGCTTTGCATGTGTGAAGTTCCTTCACATCTCTGACCCTCAGTGTCTTTAATTTGTAAAGTGGAACTCATACCATCTGCTCCATTTGCCTGTGGTGAGATCAAAGAAGATACTATGTATGAAAGTGTTTTGCAGGCTATCAAGCGCTATACAAACAAAAGATGACATTCAAAAGAAAAAATACTGTGATTTTCTGAAATCCAGACTGTTTAAGCATATCCTTATCCTTAGATCCATGAGACAATAGAGACCATCAACCAGCTGAAAACCCAGAGAGAGTTCATGCTGAGTTTTGCAAGAGACCCCCAGGGCTTCATCAATGACTGGCTTCAGTCCCAGTGCCGGGATCTGAAGGTAACACATTCAGACAGGGGTCACAAATTTGCCTTATTTCTGCTGGGATAGGAACAGGAGAAGTAGCTTTGGGAACCAGATTCCTAAAGATTCCATGCTCTTTAATTTTAGGTAGGGAAGTGGAGGTTTAAACAATCAACAGATATGAAATCAGCACTGTCCTAGGTGCTGTGGATGATATAGAAGTATTCAGTGTGGTCCTTGCCCTAATTGTTTATTTATTTATTTTTGGTGAGGCAGTTGGGGTTAAGTGACTTGCCCAAGGTCACACAGCTAGTTAGTGTCAAATGTCTGAGGCTGGATTTGAACTCTATCCACTGTGCCGCCTTGCTGGGTCCTTGCCCTAATTGGAGAGGCAAGACCAATGCATATAAAGCAACAATAACAGTGCAAAACAGTATATAATTATGTGTTAGAGACTGTTGTGAGTGAAGCACTTGGAAAATCTTAAAGCTTTTATACAAATGGGAATTGTGCTAGGAATTCAGAAGAGAATGAGATCAACGATGATTGGGCTAGTCAGGGAATGCTTGGACTGGGTCTTAGAGGATGAGTAGAATTTGGTTTGGGAGGGTAGAAGAGTGAACCAAGTATACCCACTGTTAGGTTGATGGGATAGTTCAGAGACTTATCTGTCTAAAACAGGTAATAAGTAAAATAAGGTTGGACGGGTTATAGAGGAGTCTCTTGAAAATTCGGAAGAGATGTTTAGATGGTAGAATTGGAAACAAAGAGCCACTAAAGATGTTTGAGTAAGAGAATGACATGATGAATAGCACTTAAGAGTACTTATTCTAGCCTGAAGTCAAGGAGTACACCCGTGAGGCCGTTACAGTAATCTAGATGTTGGGTGATGGCTTAGACCAAGAATGAGTTTGCCCTTCCCCACTTCTCTAGACCATGACAGATGTAGTGGGAAACCCAGAGGAGGAGCGCCGAGCTGAGTTCTACTTCCAGCCATGGGCTCAGGAGGCTGTGTGCAGATACTTCTACTCTAAGGTAGGTACCTGAGGAGACCAAAAGAGGACCGACAGAGCAAGGGGCCTGGGCCTGTTGCTTCCCAAGTGGAAGTCATGGATGTCAGGTCCCAGCCTATAGGCCTGCTTGCCCCCAGCCTCCCTCTCCTTTCCCCCCCAGGTGCAGCAGAGACGGCAGGAACTGGAGCAGGCTCTGGGCATCCGAAATACATAAGGCCCCTCCTCCATCCTCAGCCCGGCCACACCAATTCTTCGTATAGGCTGTTGTGCCTCCCCATAGCACCTGCCCTAGTCTTGCTTTGGGGTCCTCCAGGGGAAGCTGCTGGTTGAAGGATGACACCAAGATGAAGAGGGTCCCACATTTCTGTCTCAAGAGACAAATATCCTCCTCCCCAGTCTCTCCAACTCCCTTTTGCCTCACAAAACTCCCACGTGCCTCTCCCTTTTCCTGGTCTACATAGGACCTCTAGTTAGTATTAGTGAGAGAATTTATAGTGGTAATCAATGCTCTGAATGAACTGGCCTAAGGCTAAGTGATCTTCAAGGGAAACAACTAAACTCATGTTGCCCTTAAGAGACCCAGGATCGAGGGCCATAGTCCCTTTCCCCAGGTCTGGACCAGGGGGCATTCTGTAAGTTAGTTGGTTTCGGTTGTCCCTATATAGAATCCCATTTTCTTTCATCAGTTTGGTACAAACTCTTAATGGGATGTTCTGGGACCCAAGGGAACTTTAAGACCACTTGACTTAGTTGACCCCTAGGCCATGTTCCTCTAGGATGGCCTGCTGGCTTAGCTCTTCCCTGAGTCCCCTATGTGGGGGTTCACATCAGTATTAGAGTTTGTTCCCTGACTGCTGCTCCCACCTGGCACACTCCCTATAGCTGCTGCTTTTTCTTAGGATTCTTCCTAAGCCAGGGCATTTGGGCTGGGAGCCCTGCCTTTCCCCACATCCATTCCCTTGTGTGTTGTCACTGCCAGCAAAGGCATTCATTCCTTCCAGCTATTGCTTGGACATGTGGCCACCACCCCTCCTACTCCACCTTTTCCCCAGTAGAGAGAGACGCCTCAAACCCAATGCATAAAAGCCCTGGGACATCTCTGTTTCCCTGTCCCTTGCCCTTTTAGTTAGTACCCCATAGTGGGTCATGGGGCATTGGGGAATAAGGAGAGCCGAGGGCTGGAGAGCGGCTCTTTGTTGGGTTTGTGACTCTCTCTACCCTTAATCCCAACTGAAATCCTTCAGCCCCTCAGGTAAGCAGCAGGGCCAGGGGTCTGGCCCAGTAGAACTGAGATGGTTTTGCATCCTTCCAGGAAAGCTCCATATTCCTTTCCCAGGTTGGATTTTTCCCTTAAGTTAGCATATCTCAGGCTCGCAGACTCAACACAGCAGGGTGGGAGAGAGCCAGGTGCAGAAGGGGCGTTGGGTTTGGCATCAGCTCCAAAACCCCACAGAACTGACAGACTCCTGCCTCCCCACCCCTCCTCAGGCTCCTGCGAGTATACCCTCCTCCGTGCCTGCTCCACATCACGTGGCAGCGGAATCTTCCCACTGTCCCTCTGAAAGGCTTCCCTTACACTACTACAAGGGCACCTCACAAACCTCTGTTGGGGGAGGGCAGCTGAGCCCTGGCCCCACTGCTGGCCAGGACCATGTGAAGGAAGCTCAGACACCGGCCTTCCTCCCACCACTTAGGCAGTGTCCCTGTTGCAGATAACTTTTTATTAACTGAATGTTATGTTTTTTCATGGACCAAAATTTTTTTTGTACTGTCCCCTTATAGATGTCACCCAGTTTTAATAAAAGCATCTTCTGAAGGATGGGTTCCCCCTTCTTGATAGAGAACTCTTCATCAATCTAATGCCCTCTATCTACTACCAATTACCATGTTCACAGCGTCCGTTTTTTATGGCTTATACTCTACAGGGAAAGGGAATCTGGGTACTATAGGAAGACTAAAATAACACTGAGGCATTCAGTACTTACCAAGATTAATTTTTAGGTATGGGAGATTTGCGGGGGGGGGGGGAGTTACTGTTACCTGTGGTTGGATCATAGGGGCCCCTCCCCCACACCCCAATCTTCCCTGAAGTTCTCAACATCTGGGAAATTCTACAGCTTGTGCCATCTCTGATCTCTCCTGCCTTGATCTTCCCTTGCATCATCTGAAGCCTTTAATTCCCTAGGACATTGGAGTTAGAGCTCCTGAAATTAGCTGTCCTTGGGAGGGGATGAGAGGTGAGGTGGGGTGTTGTCATTGCTTGATGAGTTTTGCTTGCCATGTCATTTTAAAGGCTCCTGTGTGGCCTCTTCCTATTTGTTTCCCTTGTCTTGAAGATTCCCTGTTGAAAGGCCCAGAGGATACAATCACATTAAGGTTTGGAAGTTGTAAGCTGTTGTTTTTTATTTTATAAAGTGAGCCAACCACTCAAGAGCCAGAAGGATCCCTCAAGAGTGATTGGTCCCCACAGTATATTAATCTACGTTGGTATTCCCTAGAGTCAACTCACTTATTTGTCTGGCAGATTGTCTGAGGCTTCCCTTCCACCAGTCAGTTTGGTCCTAGGCTGCTGAGTTAGGACCCCAGTGGAAGGAGAAAGGGGATTAGGCACAGCAAGTGTCTGTTAATGATTAAATCCCAAAGTTAAGTAGCTTTTGTTATTTGCTTCCCTGCATTAGTAAAGAGCTGCAAGTTGCTGGTGCAATTAAAATGGGGTATAGTAGATTATAGTTCCTAGTCCAAATCTTAGAACCTTATCATGTCATGAATAGGGAGGTAGCTTGGTGGGAGAGGTCAGTGACATTGGAACTGGGCAGGGTCTTAGATGCTGGACAGGAGTTACACTTGCCTTGTATTAAGTACCATTTTCTTAGTTGTAGATAAATAACTTACAGTTTGGTCTCTTTTATAAAGAGTCCTAGCTGTAGTAGAAACTAGGAGTGTGGCATTGGGCCATCCTGACTTTTCTCTAGACCTTAGTTTATCCTTATCCCTGCCCCACCCTCCCTGAGATGACTCTGGGGGGGGAGTAGGAAAGAATCAGATGAGTAGAGAATCTTGGCAGTAAAATCAAGGGAAGTGAATAAGTATAGATCGCCTACTGTATGCTAAGTATTTTTTATAATATCTCATTTGATCCTCACAACCTTGTAAGGTAGGTGTTCATTTAACCAGTTGAGGAAACTGAGACAAGCAGAAATTAAGTGACTTGTCCACAGTCACCCAGCTGATAAGTATCTGAGACCAGATGTGAACTTAGGCCTTTCTGCCTCCCGGCCCAGAGCTCTACCTATACCACTACACCACCACCAGCTGGAGCCAGATGTTGGATTCCCCTACATTCTGTGGTGCTTCTGTCAAGTGTCTTCTGACCCTGTGAAGGAAATGGAGGCATTCCAGGAACAGATTACTCCACCTTTGCCTATCCCCCAGTGCTTCCAGCTGGTACTTGAGCTCTTGCTGCCAGCCTGTACGCTCTGTGCCAGGGGGAAGATGGGGGTGGAGCTGTGGGAAGGAAGCTGGCCTTGAGTTTGAATCAACATTATGTTCTGAAGAGGAAATATAACCACGCTTCAGGGAAATTTTGTTACCCTGGGATGAGTTCTATCTTAGCCAGAGGAGGGATTGTAGAACCTGTACTGGCCTCCATAGGCCCCCCACCCACCCATATTCTGGGATTTAAAAAATAACAATGTGTCCCATTGGTTGCAAACCTTCACCTGCCATGTGCTCACTTCTATCCACCAGTTAGATGGGGGCTCCCCTCTAGCCCAGTACTTATCTAGCAGCAGCTGCCGGAGCAAGAGCTAGGCATGTGAGTACAGCCTTAGGTTAGGGTGATGTCTGCCGGTTAGGCCAAAGTGCACAGGCAGCAGTGCCCAAGAGGCCTTTTACCCTCCACTCCAAGGCAGCCTGGGAACCTTTGCCCTCTCTTAACCAAACATGGCTGTGTGAGCACACCGACTGGGACCTGCAGAATACATTGCTGCCATTTTTCCTGAGACCCCTTCATACACACTCTAGGAACAGCGTGGTAGTGTGGGCAAAGCCCGCAACCTGTGCTTGGGATGGGATTGTAGCAGGCATGAGAACTGCAGGGGAAGGGTGTCTTTGTCCATTGATATCACCTCTGCTCCCCTCTAAGCCCTTGAGAAGGAAGGGGGGTGGAGAGACTCCCTGCATAGTCTTCCTCAGAATCTTTCCACCCTGTCATTCCCAAATGAGAGCAACTCCACCACCCTTCAAAAGTGAGTCTGTTCCAAAGGTAAGCTATGTCACATGGGAACTTGGATCAACAAATTTTCACCTCACACACCCTCAGCCCTGGAAAACTCATACCTGAGTCAGAGGAACCTGAGGTGGGGACCCAGGATGACTACTTTATTGGAGCCTCATTTGGCCTTTAGTGTTTTAGTTGAGGAGCCAGACCTCGTGCATTCTCAAGCTCCCTATGTTTCTGCTAAGTTATTTGAGGGTTCCCCGTCTGTAAAGTTGCAGGATACTAGCTAGCCCCTGGAGATCCTAATGAGGTGTTGGTCACTGTCACTGCTAGAGAACAGCCTGGTGCTTTGAAAAGGTATAGTTCCTAGGTCTGCTGATGGAAAGGACAGCCTTGGTCTCTCACCTAATGAGCTCTCCTAGGAAAGCAGAAGGCCAGAAGGTGCCAGCCGAGGGGAGAAAAAAAATTTGAGATTAGTCTCTGTCCTGATTCCTTGTCCGCACCTCTCTCCATTTGTTCCTCCCTGTCCCTGCTGGACTCTCCCTCACTTCCACCCCCACTTTAGGGGTGGAGCTTGGCTTCCCCGACATGCCACAGTTAAATGCTCCGAGCAAACGGAGGAGCAGGGCAGTGTGGTACAGAGCTAGCCCAGGCTGGGAGGCAGGACCATGGCTGGCAAGAAGGTCTGCATCGTGGGCTCAGGGAACTGGTAAGAAGCCCAGTTGAGGACTGTGGTGGGGAAAAAGGGAGGGGAAACAATATGACCATGAGGAGGGTATGAGATGAGAGTAGGAAACCCTCAGCCCTGCCTTAGCCCCAATAACTGCCCCAATAGCCCTGTATCCTTATTCTGAACAAGAGCAGGATGGGGCTTCAGGGCTGCTCCCTCTCCTTCCAATTGTACCAACACCCCTGAAGAAAAGAAGCCACCTTGACTTTGCCTCCCCACCGATATCCGATTGATTACGTCTATTGGGGTGACAGCAGGTGCCTTTCCTGAGAGCAGCAGGATGGTATGAACCTGGAACCTGGGTCTCATCCCCAGTGAGTAGGACTAAATCTCATTAGTATCCCAAACTATTTGGAGTCTCAGGCCCATTAGTCCTTGGATAAGAGTGGGGGATATGTTAGGAAAGGTGGTTATTTACATTTTAGTGGACTCCATCTGTTAGCCTAAGGATAAGTGCTAGCTGTTGCCACTGTTGTCTCAGCCTACTCAGACCTTAGAAACTACTCCTTTACCACCACCCTCACTATATCCTCGTCTTTTGCCACCATTCCTCAGGGGCTCTGCTATTGCCAAGATTGTGGGTAGCAATGTGGCCCAGCTGGCACAGTTTGACCCACAGGTCGCCATGTGGGTGTTTGAGGAGGAAGTTTCGGGCCAAAAGTTAACAGAGATCATCAACACGAAGCATGAGAATGTCAAATACCTACCTGGGCGCAAGCTACCTCCTAATGTGGTGAGGTCCCCATAAAGATCAATGGGGGTAGGGAGAATGATGGTGGAGAGTTTATGGGGGTCACACTCCAGGCCCTAAATTAAGAGACCGTTTGAGGGAAGCTGGACCTAATCTGAGGTCAGTACCAGCCCCAGAGGGTGACAGATCTGCCCAAAGCATAACCTATTTGTCACAGGGGTGTTAGTCCCCTAATACGAACCTGGGGCTTCTCAGGACCAGAGAAGGAACAGAATGTAGTCCCCACTTTCCATAAGATAGCTCCAGGGCTGGGTTGGATGAGGAAAGGGGGAGGGAGGCTTAGAAGCAAGTCATCTCTGGGGTAACCAAGGCCAGGCTTCCAGACTCTGGGGTCCAGGACAGTGCCCCTGGCTCTCAATCCTGTTACTCATTCACCTAGTGGCTGACCTTGGAGACAGCTCTGTGGACTATAGGAGTAGGACCAAACTCATTTGTCTTCCACCTTCCCCCTGAAAAGGGGGAGGGCACGTAGTCTGCAGCTCATTTTTAGCCCTTAAAGTCATCTGAGTGCTCCAACCACCCCAACCCATCCTCTTTTTAGTCACCTGTCACGTCCCATAGACATGGCTTAGAAGCAAGTTAGGGTCTCAAAAGTTGTTTTCAAGAATCTTTTACCCCACAGAATAGCTGGAACTGTTGCAGGAGGGAAGGTGGCAAAATGCCCTGCCTCTTTAAGTCTGATAGCTCCTATGAAACCCAATCCTGCCCCCATGCACCCGTTTCCCACCACCCTCCCCCAAGCCCAAGAATAGTCCTGTCAGCACTGCTCTACCACTCCCGTAGGTGGCCATACCAGATGTGATCCAGGCGGCAGCAGATGCAGATGTTCTCATTTTCGTGGTGCCCCATCAATTCATTGGCAAAATCTGTGACCAGCTCAAGGGTCATCTGAAGGGAAATGCCATTGGGGTGTCTCTTATCAAGGTGCCTAGGGCGGGAGAAGGGAGGCAGGGGGAAACAATGGCTATAGTGAGGAGTGAGAACGAGAGCAGCAATTGCAGAGAAATAGGGGAAGGGGTAGTGCGTTGGTTTGGGGCATCGTGGGGATGGCCAAGGAAAGTTCATCTGGTTCCTAAGCTGGGATGGGAGGAAGATCTTAGGCAGAAGGCGGGCTACTGAATCGTGGTTTTTAGACGGCATAGGTCTCCATGTATGGGACATGGGATGATAGAGAGGGGCGGGGAGAGATGGGAAGTAACCGACAAAAGCTAGCTGAGTCCCATTCTGTGCTCAGGGTGTGGACGAGGGCCCTGATGGGCTGAAGTTGATCTCTGAGGTGATCCACGAACGACTGGGCATCCCCATTAGTGTGCTGATGGGGGCCAATATTGCCAATGAGGTGGCTGATGAGAAATTCTGTGAAACCACCATTGGTGAGACCTCCTTGTCCCCACCCTCACCATAGCCCAACTCATTTCTTTTCCCGTCTTTTTTTTTCCTATAAAGATACTAACAAGGGGAAGACTAGAGGGAGGATAGAGGGGTACAGTAAGGCAAGGGGAGTAGAAGGGTTACTCTCTGTCTGGAGCAGAGATAGGGGAGAACAGCTGTCATTGAGGGACATCTCTTGCTCAGCCTCATCCCTTCCACTTTAGGCTGCAAGGACCTGGCCCAAGGGCAGCTGCTGAAGGAACTGTTGCAAACACCAAATTTCCGAATAACTGTGGTGCAAGAAGTGGACACAGTAGAGATCTGTGGGGCCCTCAAGGTGAGGGGCAAGGGGAGGAGTTAGGGTCCTGCTGGGCTCCATAGAGAGAAGTATAGGCTGCCCGGACTCCAGGCTAGATAAAACCCCAGTGGGTGCAACCTATAGAGGCAACTTGGGGAAACGGGTTCAGATCCTCCCTGCACCCACCCGGTGAAAAACACCTGCCCTCATCTGGACCACCCATGCCCTTTGTGAGAGCCCTATCTTAGAGGCTAAAGGAAGGTCCAGAGGGAGGAGAGAGAAAGCCCCTGCCCTTGAGTAGTTCTCAGTCTGGTGGGAGAGACAGAGAGACACCAAGGACACAGACTTAGAGATAAGAAAAGAACATGGGACAGCTAGAAAGAGCTCTAGAAATAATGCTAGAGGTATGAATCAATCAGGGAAGTATTTCTAGGGGAAGGAGGTATGAAGTAGGGTTGGTTAGGGGGCAGGAACAAGCAAGTATTAAGTGCCTGCTAGGCCCTGAGCTAAGCACTATACAGACACTGCCCTTCAAAGTAGATGCTATTATTGTCCTCATTTTACAGATGAGGAAGCTGAGGCAGAGTCACACAGCTAGTTAGTGTCTGAGACTGGATTTGAACTCCGGTCTTCTTGACTTCAGTCCCAGCACTCTATGTACTGTACCACCGAGGTTATTAGGTGGCACAGACGATGCCAGAGAAAAGGAACAGTTTTGGACTCAGGGAGGGCAGCGGGAAGTATTTTGGAAACAGATTAGGGCAGGGATGGGGAATCCGTGGCCCTCTGGGTTCTCAAATGCAGCTTTGACTGAGCCCCAATTTCACAGAACAAAGGCCCTTAATAAAAGGCTTTGTTCTGTAAAACTTGGACTCAGTCAAAAGGCTGCACCCAAGGACCTAGAAGGCCACACTTGGCCTGGAGGCTGTAGGTTTCCCCATCCCTGGGTTAGGGCCCCCAGTTGCTAATCTTCCATGTTGGCCTTGCTATTGAAAAGGCAGAACCCCTTGCTTTAGGGATTATTAACCTTTTTTGTCATGGATCCCTTTAGCAGTTTGGTGAATCCTGTGGAACCTTTCCCAGAATATTGTTTTTAAATGCATAAAATAAAATACAAAAATAAAAAAAAATTACAAAGAACACTGATTATATTGAAGTAGAGTTACTAAAACATAGGAAAAAAAAGTGGACAGACCCCAAGTTAAGAACTGCTGGTCGTGATACTCGGATCTAACCAAGAGTAATGCCTCTCCACCCCGACCAGGTCTATAAAGAGAACGGATGGGGTTGAGGGAGGAGATGTGGTGGCCCTTAAGGTGCCACCTAAGGACTGCATTGCTTCCCCCCTCTTCCCACAAAGAATGTGGTTGCTGTTGGAGCTGGCTTCTGTGATGGGCTGGGCTTTGGTGACAATACAAAGGCTGCTGTGATCCGGCTGGGACTCATGGAAATGATCACCTTCGCCACATTCTTCTGCAAGGGCCCCGTCTCCTCAGCTACCTTCCTGGAAAGCTGTGGGGTTGCTGACCTCATCACCACCTGTTACGGGGGTCGGAACAGAAAAGTGGCTGAAGCCTTTGCCCGAACTGGAAAGGTGGGGGCTCAAGAGGTGGGGTGGAAGATGGCAGAATATTGAGAGGGAGAGGATCCAGGAGGGCAATGGGGAAGAGGAGAGGGGGTTGGGAAGGCTTCTGGGGGGGGGGTTTGGGAGGACTGAAAGATGCTTGAGGCAGGGTACTGGGGGAAAAGGCACCAGCTATGCTTCTGCTGTGAATGTTCTTACCCCTTCCCAGAATTCCTCCCCAGTGCCCCTACTCCCTATCTGAGATTTCAGGCTCCACCTGACCCCAACTACTGAGACCTTGTGCTCCCTACCTTCCCCCTCTCCCAACTCCATCTCCTTCACAGTCTATTGAACAACTGGAAAAAGAGATGCTGAATGGGCAGAAGCTTCAGGGGCCCCAGACAGCTCGGGAGCTGCACAGCATTCTGAAACACAAGGGCTTGGTGGACAAGTGAGTGCAGTCCCACTGACAAGACCTCCTATTGCCTTCCCCACCACCCCTTGCCCTCCTTAGTCTCACCCTTTCCCTGTTACGGGAGAAAAGATCTGAGGTGCCCAGGGATAGGATTCTGATAGTCAGGCATTTTGTTTGGCCCTCCCACCTATCCTGAGCAGCCCAACCCCTTGCATAGAGACAGGGTCCCAGTTCTCAGGGCTCACTCTAAAAACACACACAGAAATACTAGCATATCTACTGTATGTATAAGCAAATCCTGCTAGAGGGATGCAGTGTGATTAGTTGAAGCTGGGCAAACTTCTTGGAGGCAGGGAATTTTGAAAAGGGTTTGGAAGAGGTCTGGTCAGAGCAAAGAGAGAAAGAGACTGTCTTGTGCCGGGAGGAACTGCCTAGACACAGGGAATGAGGCAGGGGAGGAGACAAGGAGTGGGTATGAGGGCCCTCCAATCCAGAAGAGAAGAGTGTAGGCCAAGATTGTGATGGCAGGAACAACTGGAGGGAAAGAAGGACCATTTGTGAGGGTGCCTTTCACCCCGAGGCCGAGGAGTTTGTCATCAGTAGGTGAAATGGGGGTCTTCTGGACTCAGAGGCTGAACCAGTGAATCGTTCTTTCCCTGCTGCTCTTCCCAGGTTCCCCTTGTTTATGGCCGTGTACCAGGTGTGCTATGAGGGTCGCCCAGTCCAGAAGTTTATCCACTGCCTCCAGAACCACCCAGAACACATGTGAATAGCGCAGGCAGGGCGAGGTGACTGAAGATCCCCAGCTTCCTGAACCTGACTCCAGGGCAGGAGGCCCCAGGGCATTCTGGGCCCTGAGAACTTTTCCAAGACTTCACAGTTGCTCACCCTCATCTCAGTTGGAGGCCAAATGAAACCCAAGCAATTTACCTCATCTCAGTTTGGAAAGTCCTGAATTCTTGTGTCTTCCCCTCCTCCCACCTCCTCTCTTTCTTTTCCCTTTGGGGATGGGGGAAATGAACCTCAATGCTCTCTGTCTAATAGGGGGTCAGAATGGCTGCTACATTTTGCTGACCTACAAAAACTATGCCCAAAGCTAAAAATCCTGTCCTCCAGTTCCCATGCCCAACTGAGTGGCCACTGAGGCAGCCAGCAGTGTCAGCTTCTTGTGGAAGTGAGAAAGTTGAGGCAGATGTGGCTTAGGAGGTGGGCTGGGCTTGGGGGAGGGAGAAAAGGAAGGGGAGGAAGATAGAGCCTCATGAACCTCCCTGGCTCCAGCCTCACCAGGGGCACTGCCCTGTGTCAATGGATTTCAGTGTTTGTTACAAAATACAAAGATCTCAACTCCCTTCCAACTTCTCCTAGCAACATCTTTGTCCTTAGAACCATTCCCCTCCTCCCCTGGCATCAGAACCAGCTATGCTGGCATCAGAGGCCCTGGGGGCCCTGGGGGCCCTCTCCCCTCCCTGGGGCTTTCCTGGTTCCTGGCTTTTTGAGCCCTGGCACTTTCCCTGGTCTTGCCAGCACCTCTCCTACCCAGCTGACCTTTCTAGTGACTTTTCTCTCCTGTCTCTTCCCTCCCCCCTCCCTGGGCTCACTCACTCTATATCTCTGGGTATCAAGAACTTAATCTGACTGTACCTCCTGTACCTTTTCAGCGTGGCTTTGACTCTGACCTTTTCATTTACCACCCCCCTGCCTTCCCTCCCTCCAGCCTTCAGCTGAGGATATGACATCTTGAGAGGGCTATCACTCTCTGAATGCCACCCCTCCCTTTCCTAAAATACTCATGCTCCTCAGTCTCAATTCTACCAAGCAGAAGAAGGAGCTACTGATCATTATGGGGTTGGGAAGGGTGCTCCAGGGAGTAAGGGCTGGTTTCTCTGGGGGGTGGGGAGGAGGTATTAAAAGTAAAGAAAATGGCCTCATGGAGTAGGGGTCGGGAAGCAGGTTGGCAGAAAAGGGATATCCACATGCCACATCCTGGCACATGCAGAGTTAAAGGGGATGAAAGGGAGCAGGCCTCTTGGTTAAAGAGGGCCCTCTCCAAAAGCTAGGAGTGTTCTCAGAGAAAGGAATGCCTGCCCACATTGCCTCAAGAGTGTCTAACCCAGGGCCCAGGGAAATGAATGAAATACCCATACCTATTTCTCAAGACAGGTTAACAAAAAGGAGTAAAGAAGAAGAGGGGCTTAAGTGAAGGAAAGAGAATGGGGAGGAGAAGAGGGAGAGAGAGAGAGGAGAGGAGTATTCTTGGCCCTAGCCTTGGCCAAGGATCAGGTGGCAGCAGCAGGAATGTTTGCAGGTCAGCAGCCTGGGTACTGGGCTATTAATAGTCTGGGGCTCTGTCCAGTCAGCAGAGGGGCCACTAGTCAGTGAATGGCACATTGTGGTCTACTAACAAGAAAATGGCAGCTCTATAGTCCACCTTCCCCAAATCAGGGACTAAATATCTCTGAAACCACTCCTCCAACCACTGTCAGGCAGTAGGAACCATGGCTTTTAGGAAGTCTTGTGTAGCAATGAAGGGCTACCAAGCCCCTGGATAACTGATATGGGAGATAGGATTACTAGAGGATCAGGGTCAGCCTTCCAGGCCTTCCTGAGTGGTACTGTCATACTACTCTCCCTCCCCAGGAAGCTGAGTTGGGGGAAAGACCAGAGAACCCACTCCTACCCCTACCCCCTCACTTAGAAATAGGTCTAAAATTCAGTAATATGATTTACTGACACTGAACAGATTCCTAACTTTAACGTGAGTCCTTCAAGTCAAACATCTTTGTTTCTACAATAAAGTCAGATTCTTTTCTGAACTGAGTTTGTGCGTGTGTATGTGTGTATGTGTGTGTGTGACACTACTCTTCACTTCCCTCCCCCCAACCCTTATTTTTCTTCATGGTGAGGAGAATTCCGTTTTTACTGTTTTGACAACATCAAATTTGTCATTCATCCCCAGAGCCTCTTGCCCTCTTGTTATTCTAGTGATTGTTCTGTGCAGTGGAAAGAATGGTGGATTTGGACTCAGAGGACCTGGGTTCAACTCACCTTCCTTGTACCTCTTTCCTAGGTAACTAAGTAGTCCAGTGAATAGAGTTAAGGGGAACCTGAATTCAAACCACCCTGGAACATTTCCCAGCTGCATGACCTTAGGCAAGTTACTTAATGGGGGCCTGCTTCAGTTTTCCCCATCTGTAAAGCAGGGATAAAAATAGCACCTATATCCCAGGGTTGCGTTAGGATAAAGGCAAATCATATTTGCAAACCTTAATGAACATTGTTATTATTATCTGCAAACTGAGAGGTTTGGGCTAGATTGCTTTTGGCTTTAAATCTTTGGCCATATTAGAGCTTTGGAAACAAGCCTGGAGAGTCTGGCCAGGCTCACACCACTGGTTCATTCTGGGGCCAGAACTCAGGTCTTCAATCTCCAGGTCCACAGTTTCTTCCTATCACTGCTTCTCTAGATACTCATTATGATTCTTCCAAAAAAAATACCCAGGGCTTTAGGAATCTGTGGCAGCTTTAAAACTAGGGAAACAATAGACTACTTTTGGCTTTCCAATTCCCACTTGGCACATGACCACTGTCAAACTTGGCTGTATTTCTCTGCAGGGTCCAGGTGAGCACCTTACTTACTCACCATAGGTCACCCTTCTTTGGCATTCATTCTTCTGGGAAAGTGCAGGAAGAAGCACCAGGAGGCGCACTGACGGCTTCAAATCAAATCTTTCCAGAAAGGGATCTGCCCGACGACCAGTGACACCACTAGATCATGCGTGCTTGGGATTGGCCTATCGATTACAGCACTCTCTGACCTCAGCGTCAGGGAGTCCTAATGAGGAATGACTACAAAGCCCAGGATTCTGTGCGTTCAAACTGCTCCTTGGAGACTTTTACGGCGCCAATGATTGGCCCGGCGAGCCGGAAATTCATCGGATCCAGCCGGCGTTGCAGCAGATATTCCTCCTCAGAGGGCGGAAGTATACTCTAGCCGGCTTCGGGAAGTTAGACCCCTCCCTCCCTACTGAGGCCGGAAGTTAGTTCGGGAGGGTAAGAATCCATTTCCGCCCTAACGCTTCTGTTTGGGTGCCTTGCTTAGAGTTCAAGGCCTCGAGTTCCCCTCCCTCGACTCTCGCTGTTGCATCTTTATGGTTCCGGTCCCACCTTCCCTTGGGGCCGGAAGTGGCGCAGCGGCGAAGGTTGAGCGAGTCGAAGGACTTAAGAAGGCTGCGGTCTTAGCTGTGAACGCCAGGTACGGGGGAGGATGTGTGGGGCGGGAGAGGCAAGGCCGGGGAGGGGTGGTGGGGCCGAGTCTGGGCTCCCGAGCTCACGCGTGTCTCCTCGGATCTCAGTCCCCAAAAGCGCTAAAAGACCTGGTAACTTCCCAGACCTTGGGAAAGGGTGGAGCAAAGGTTGGAGAGGGAGGCCGGCCCGCGCGGCCTGAGGGTCGGGGCCGGGGGCACGACCGCTGGGTGTCTAGTGGGCAGGCGCGGAAGCTGAGCGGCCCTCCCAGCGGCGTGGTCGGCCTCCCCTTGCCGGCCTGTGCTTTGGCTGCATCGGCCAGCGCGGGTCGGCTTCCAAGAGGCCCGAGCAGAGACCACCTCTTGAGTCCTGGTTTTCCTAATGCGCGATCTCTGCATCCCTGTACTTCTCTGCTTCTGCTCACAGTCCCTTATCGAGCAGGTCTTGGGGCCATCTGAAGACCCTTAATTTTCTTAGTCTGGTTTTTAAGGCCTAATGCTTCAATCAGACTCAAGTCACGGTACCCCTGCTCCCCTCCTCTAATACTTGTAGACTTGTTATCCTGCCTTTGTATAGAATATTCCCTTTGCTTTGACCCTACTCCAACTATGCTCCTTTTCCTCCCTTTCCCGTCTTGTCTATTCAGTAAACTTTTTTTTAAGCGCCTACTGTGTGGCAGGCACTGTGCTAAGCCCTAGGCATACAAAAAGAGGCAAAAGACAGCCCCTGTCCTCAAGAAGCTTACATTGTAGTGGGGGAGACAACATGCAAACAAATCTTTACAAACCAAACTATATACAGGATAAATAGGAAATCATCAAGAGAGGGAAAGCACTAGAATTAAGAGGAGTTAGAAAAAGATTCTTGTAGAAGGTGGGATTTTAGTTAGGACTTAAAGGAAGCCAGTCAAAATCCTAGTCATCTTTCATTGCGCAGAGCTAGTTCTTACTTGAAGTATTCTGGGGCACCCTCCCAGATGATCATTGAACTCTTCTTCCTCTGAACTTCCTCTTCTGAGTCCATCTGTCTTATAGCACTTATTCAAATACTGAAATGGATCTGTGATTTATGTCAGTCAGTTAGCATTTATTAAGGCCTACTCTATGCCTGGTGGCCCTGTGCTAAGTACTGGGAATATAAAGAGAGGCAACGCCCAACCCAACCCCAAAAAGAAATAAAGAAAAACAGTTGCTGGCAAGGAGTTCACATGATTTTGGATAATCCCTACAAAGATGTAGATGTCAGCCCATCTGTTTCTCCTCATCTTTTGTTCATATTCTGAATTTATCACGAGGGGTTCACTCTACTTAATGGAGGCCTTTCTCAGTGTCCCCTGACGTCTGTAGTGTGAGTATAGCTCTCAAGTTATCTACTTGTTACTTCTTGCCATCTGACCAACCCATCTCTTCTTTCCCTCATAATTTCCCCATGTCCTTTTTTGCATATAGCACTTATACATTTTTAAAAATTCTGTGTCTTATCTTTCCTTTGGGGATAGGGCTTTGTTTTATTTATTCACAGTGCTCAACAAAGTGCCTTGCTATAAAACGTTTTTGTTAAAGGAAAGTTCTTTGGACTTTGCCTGGATTAACAAGGCAAAACTGTGGACAAAGAGAATTACAAAGAGCTTATTAAAAGTATGTCAAGGCAGCAAAACATTGACAGGCTAATCACTAGAGATCAGCAAGAGAATCAAGGTGGAGCCTGATTTTATTGATTACGTTAATAAAGACAATTGGATAGGACCATCTCAGTAAAAGGAGTTGGTCCATTGCATTGTAGCACCTCCCTAATTGCCAATATCTGCAGTCTACTTGTTGTTTAACAGATGTCCTGGTAGGTAATAAGTAGCAGATAACACAAAAGCTACAGACTGAGTGAGCCACCCCCAACACATTGACAAACTGGTCTTGGAACAATGGGTCACTAACTTAGCATAACTTTTAACAATTCCCCTGTTTGGTGTTAACTGTACATATGGCAATGACTGAACAACAAAACAAAATATACATATATGCTTCCACACCACATTTGGTTTTATATCACTCCTTAATCCTCAGTTGTATCATCCTAATCTCTGCTGTGTGTGCTAAATTAATAGCTATAAGCCAGGGGATTTAAGCTCACAACAGAAAATAAATGTACTGTGGCCATGAGTGTCACAAATAATGATCCTGTGTTTCCATCAATGTCACAGAGTTGAATTAACTTAGATAACAGAGTCATAATCTCATGTATCCCCCAGTGAGACAAACTTTGTTAAATAGACCCTGTATGTAAATTAAGGCCTATTGCAGATCAGGCCATTTAGAGGGCATAATAATTTTAGAGAGATTTACAAATCAGTAAAGTCACCAAGAAAACTCAGTAAACAGAAATACCATGAAACAGAAGACCAAAGTATATGATAATGATAACATCAATGTTCCTTGTAACGTGGTAACCCACTCCTAGTGTTCAGTTAATCAGCACATTTCATCTTGAGTCCCAGATGTCTCCTCCAGTTGTCTGGTCCCTAAAAATGTCTTCCCTTGGATATTCTGGAATAGGCCTTGGTCTCATAACAGCTCTGGAGTGGTCTTCTTTCAGTGGATATTCTTCCCTGATTCCAAGTCACTTGCAGAGATTCCTAATTACTTCTACGAAATCTGTTAGTAACAAGACTTAATACAACTTAGTATAACTTCTTAAGTTTGCTTTTTTTAATAACTAGGTCATGTGGTGAAAACTAGTTCAAACCTTACGATTCTGGTCTTAATTGACAATAGAACCATAATAAGAACATCAAATTAGGAATGTTTCTGTCATCTTTAGTGAAATTTTACATGTAAAATTCTGAACCCAATTTTTAGAACTTATTTTTATAACATTCTCAAAGCTTGTGTGTCCTGTTAGAATAATTTACATTTGACATATAATTATCTGATCTTGTTGCTTTCTTGGAATTTCATTTCACTCCTGCTGATTTAGGAGGAAGAGATACTTTAAGGATTTAATTCTGTACATGAATACATAGCTACCAGCACTGATGCTTTTTCTCCAGGTTCAACAGGTACACAAATGAATTTGGTTAAAAGCTTCTTAATAGCAAACAACAAAAGACTTGAGATGTGTAAATATACTTGGGATATGTAAATATACTAAATAATGCCAAATTGTATACAGAGAATAGTTTATATGAAACAAATTGTCTGTAGTAAAATATTCAGTCATTTAACCATGTTCAAGTGGAATAGATATTACACAAACATAGACTAGTGCTCATAGAAGCCCTTTAAGCAAAGGGGACATTTTTAAGGTGACTCTTGAGTAGTTTTGCATTTCAGAACATGCTTTATATATGAATCTTAATTGTATATTAAATAACAAACCTAAGTAAAATGAGTTTCCCTACAAGGTAGTTCATAAATTATTCTCCACCAAATTAACTGATTTCATGGAAACTCTATTCCTTAAAAACAAAAATAGAAGAGTTTTCAGACTTTAACCTTGTGAGGTTAAATTTGTGAATTAATAGATTAATATCTTTATTTCATAAGCTTCTTAATCATTGTCTAATTATTCCCATATCATTCTGAAAGAATGAAATACTTCAGGGACTTAATCTTATACATAGGACAAGTCCAAGCACTAATTTAACTCTTGTTTAGGATAGAGGAAGAATAATGAACATGGTGTAATAGCATTAAAGCTGGTCCTCCAGGCCCAAGGGCACAGAATGATAAGTATATGAGGATAAAACATCCTTAACTCTTTTTGATTTCAGCTAAGAGTCAGAGTTAAGTTTTAGGAACAGCTGATCATACAGCAAAATTCCACCTCATTTACAGGGTATTATAGTTAGTCTCAGAATTATTCAAAGGGAAGTAACAACATAGGGAAACTTTAGTCGGGATGATCCTACCTTCAGCTATGCCAAAGTTGTCCCCGTGATCTTTCCCAGACACACATATCTACCTGTAGCAATTTTCAGACTGCACTCCTTCTGGGCAGCACATGGCATCCCCCTTGAATGGTGGACTTTCGGTCTCATGACAGTACAGGCAATCATATCTGAAATCAGAACTTAGATTGATATCAGATTACAATCCTATGAGATATTACTTCAAATAGCAAGTTTCACTAATCACAGCTTAGGGCTAAGGTATTTTTTTTTATTTTTTATTTTCACGTTAGTCATGTTGTAAGGAAGAATTAGAACTAATAGGAGGAACTACTAGAAAGAAGAAACAAAACAAAACAGAGGGAAAAAATAGCAAATAGTATGCTACAATCTGCATTCAAACTCCGTAGTTTTTTCTTTGGGTGTGGATAGCATTTTCCATCACGAGACCTTTGGAGATGTCTTAGGTCCTTGTATTGCTGGGTAGGGCTAAGTTTATTAAAGTTAGTCCTCACACAACGTAGCTGTTACTGTGTACAACATTCTCCTGGTTCTGCTCACTTCATTCAGCATCAGTCCATACAAGTCTTTCCAGGTTTTTCTGAAATCTGCCTGCTCATCATTTCTTATAGCACAGTAGTATTCCATTATATTCATGTACCACAACTTGTTCAGCCATTCCCCAGTTGATGGGCATCCCCTCAGTTTCCAATTCTTTGCCACCACAAAAAGAGCTGCTATAAATATTTTTGTACATGTGGGTCCTTTTCCCATTTTTATAATCTCTTTGGAATATAGCCCTAGAAGTGCTATTGCTGGGTCAAAGGATATGCACATTTTTGTAGCCCTTTGGGTATAGTTCCAAATTGATCTCCAAAATGGTTGGGTCATTTCACAACTCCACCAACAATGCATTACTGTCCCAATTTTCCCACATCTTCTCCAACATTTATCATTTAAGTTATTATTTCTTTCATGGTATTACAATAGCAAAAGTTTACCAAGCTTTAAAAAGAAAAATTCACGTCCTTTCCTTATTTTTCTTCTAGCTTAATTTAAACTCATCCTGGTGTAAAAATCAGTCATTAGAAATCAAACAATTATATTCTGGAATTCCACACAGATAG